AACACCTGGCAAGAGAATATAACCAAAACACAGCCACACATGGACATTTTAGTCAAAATAATAATATTAATAATTTTTTAAAATAGAACTTAAGATGTACACTCATGTCAGTCCCACAGTCCTAATATCCCCTAACTTCTGAGGTTTTTATCTTTTGCAAGGCTCATAAACTGGCCTCTAGACCTTAATTTTTCTTACTTCCCAAACTGACATTTAATCCCACAACCAATGTCTACCCATTCCAATAGCAACACACACCAGACACAGGGGAGACCCCAAATTATTTCCTTACTCATAGGGCTAAAAACATCTCCTGGGATTAATATAGGAGCAGCAGGATTAAGAACCTCTATTCACTATAAAAACAGCACAGGTTATTGCAGATATCCAACAGGTCATTGATTTGGTGCTGACTTTACAAATTCAGGTACACTCCTTGATGGCTGTGGCCCTCTAAAATCGATGGGCCCTCTACCATATACTGGCAAAAGAGGGAGGCCTATGTGCCTTCCTCCAGGAAGAAGGCTGTTTCTAGGTCAACATGTCTGGCATAGTTAGAGATGCAGCAGATAAACTAAAGAAACCAGCTATAAAAAAATATCTAAAAGAGACCACTCACTCCCCCTGGCATATAGGGCTACTGGGGCACTTCTGGCTGTAGATAACCACACTCATTGGGCCTTTACTAATGATTCTCTTAGTACTTCTTAAAGGTCCCTGAATTTTTAATGGCCTCCAAAATTTCCCAATGAACTGGATAAAGATCTTCACCAGACAGTCAACCAGATGGTCCCGAGTAGCTATATGAGACTCCAACCTGAAGGAAACCTGAAGAATCACAGAACGACCATACCTGGAAACTATAAAAAAACCTTAAACCTTATGACCCCAGCTTCCCTGCCTAGAGACCACCCTTCCCAGCAGGAAGTAACTACAGAAGATTGACCTCCAGTCCTTTGCAATAATTAAAAAAAAAAAATAGGGAGAATAATGGGATATCCTGGACATCAATGACTCCATTTTGGTTCTGGAACTGCTTCTTGGCCCAGGGCCAGGGCTTATGAGCTTCCAAGAAATAGAAACTTGGGATGCCCTGTTTCCATGTCCCCCCACCTCCAAGGTCCCTAAATACCCAAATCTGTTGTTACCCAAACACCTGCCCCCAAGGACAATTCTAGCTTACTACACTACACTCCAGGCCATTTCCAGCTTGCTCTAGTTCTCTGGTAAAAAAGATATAAAAACCCTATTCAAATAACTCTGGATGCTGCATCACTCTACTGGGCAGCCTGGCAGGCTTCACCTGTCAATAGGCTTTGCTTTCTAAGCAAGAGACTCTGTCTTGAGAGATTTCTTTGGGTGTTTGGTCTTAACAGATAGTTCTTACAATATTGAGGTATATTCCTATTATCCCTAGTTTTTTCTAGTGTTTTGAACATGAAGCGCTATATTTTGTCAAATGCTTTTTCTGCATCTAATGAGATAATCATATGATTCCTGTATTTAAGTCTATTGATGTGATAAATTATGTTTACTGATTTCTGTATGAGGAACCAAGCTTGCAGCCACCAGAAAACTCCTAGAGTTAATAAATGAATTCAGCAAAGTAGCAGAATATAAAATCAGCACCCATAAATCAAATTCATTTCTCATCTTCAGTGATGAATTCTCTGAAAGAGAAATTAGGAAAACTGTTGTATTTGCAATAGCCTCAAAAAAAAAAAGTAAAATACTTGGAAATCAATATAACAAATGAGGTAAAAATAACTCTATGATGAAAAGTACAGAACACTAAAGAAAAAAATTGAAGAAGATCTTAGAAGATGGAAAGATCTCCCATATTCCTGAATAGGCAGAATTAATGTTGTCAAAATGGCCATACTACCAAAAGTGTTATGCAGATTTAATGAAATTCCTATTAAAATCCCAATGACATTCTTCATAGGACTAGAAAAGGCAATCCTAAAATTCATTTGGAAAAATAAGAGACCCAGAATAGCCAAAGAAATCCTTAGCAAGAAGCGTGAATCAGGAGATATCATAGCACCAGACCTTAAACTATACTACAGAGCAACAGTAACAAAAACTGTATGGTATTGGCATCAAAATAGACATGTAGAACAATGGTATAGAATAGAAGACACAGAGATCAACTCACATAAATATGGTTATCTCATACTGGACAAAGGCACCAAAAATATACATTGGAGAAAAGATAGCCTCTTCAACAAATGGTGCTGGGAAAACTAGAAATCCATGAGTAGCAAAATGAAATGAAACCTTTAACTCTCACCCCACACAAAAATCAACTCAAAGTGGATCAAAGACTTAGGCACTAAAACAGAGACCCTGTGCCTAACAGAAGAAAAAGTAGGCCCAAATTTCCACCATGTCAGTTTAGGAACTGACTTTCTTAATGAGAGTCCTCAAGCACAAGAAGTAAAATCAAGAATCAATAAATGGGATGCATTCAAACTAAAAAGCTTCTTCTTAGTAAAGGAAACAATAACATGAAAAGAGAGGCTACAGAATGAGAGAAAATCTTTACCATATGCACTAATCTCACAGAAATATAAAGAACACAAAAACTTAACACCAAAAAAAAAAAAAAAAAACCAATCAATAAATGGGTAAAGGAACTGAATGGACACTTCACAGAAGAAGAAATACAATCAATCAACAACACGAAAAAATGTTCATCATCCTTAGCAATTAGAGAAATGCAAATCAAAAACAACTTTAAGATTTCATCTCACGTCAGTCAGAATGTCAATTATCAAGAATACAGGCATCATAAGTGTTTGCAAGGATGTGGAGAAAAAAGTACACTCATACATTGCTGGTGGGACTGCAAATTGGTGTAACCACTATGGAAAGCAGTATGGAGTTTCTTCAGAAAACTTGGACTGGAACCACCACGTGACCAAGTTATCCCACTCCTTGGTTAATACCCAAAATACTTAAAATCAGCATACTACAGGGATGCAGCCACATCAATGTTTATAGCAGCTCAATCCATAATACCTAAACTATGGGACCAAACTAGATGCTCTTCAACAGATGAATGGATAAAGAAAATGTGTTATATTCACAATGGAATATTACTGAGCCTAAAATAAGAATGAAATTATGTAATTTGCAGGTAAATGGATGGAGCTGGAGAATATCATGCTAAGAGAAATAAGCCTAACCCAAAAAACCAAAGGCCATATGTTTTCTCTGATAAGCAGATGCTAATCCATAATGGGGTTTGAGAGTGTGAGGAAGAATGAAAGAACTTTGAATTGTGCAGAGGGAAGTGAGGGGAGGGGAGAGGGTGTGAGGATGGGAAGGACAATGGAATGAGATGGACATTATTACCCTATTACTTATATGATTATACTTCTGGTGTGACTCTACATCATGTTCAGCCAGAGGAAGGAGAAGTTGTGCTCCATTTGTGTACAATGTGTAAAAATGCATTCTACTATCATTTATAACTAATTAGAACAAATTTAAAAAACAAAAAAGAAAGTTCTGAAGGTAATACACACACAAACACACACACACACACGTGTGTGTGTGTGTTTGTGTGTGTGTATATATGTTCTAGAAGAGTCAAAAAGATACAAAGAAGAAAATCAAGACACCTCCATGTCCAGTAGGATATCGGGTATACAAGAAGAAATAGCCACTAATTTAGATGGCTGTTGGAGAAGCAGTATCTTCAGGTGAAAACCAAGTTTCAGCCGGGTGCGGTGGCACACGCCTATAATCCCAGTGGCTCCAGAGGATGAGGCAGAAGGATTGCAAGTTCAAAGCCAGCCTCAGTAAAAGCAAGGTGCTAAGCAATTCAGTGAGATCCTGTCTCTAAATACAATACAAAATAGGGCTGGGGATGTGACTCAGTGGTTAAGTGCCCCTGAGCTCAGTCCCCAGTACCCACCCTCCACCACTCAAACCCCCCCAAAAAGAAAAATCAGGTTTCCATAGGGAAAGAAGAAAAGAGAACATTCATAGTTGAGATACAGGGGATTTTGTGGATAATGGACCATGAATTCCATTGGACAGAGTGAAAGAGCCTGGGCAACTGGGGAATTTCGGGATCCTGCCTAACATTACTGACATTCCACATAGTAGGAGGGTCCACATGGGACATAGTACAAAGATAAACAGGATGGTGCAATTGTACTGCTAGTCTCTTTTATGAGCTGAATTATGTTTCCCCAAAGGAGATATGCTGAAATCCTAACCCTAAGTACTTCTGAACGTGTCTTCATTTGAAGACAGGGCCTTTCAAGAGAAGATTAAAGTTAAAATGAGGACATTGGAGTAGGCTATAATTCAAATTTGACTGACATCCTTACAAGAAGAAGAAATCTGGTGCATACACACATATTTAAAAAACCATGGGAAGACCCAGCAAGAAGGCAGACATTTGCAAGCCAAGGAAACAAAGGCTTCAGAAGCAACCAAATCTGCTGACACCCAGATCTTGGGACTTTCAGATTCCAGAGTTGTGCAAAAATAAATTTGTGTGTTTAAACCACCTAGTCTGTTTTTTTTTTTTTTTTTTTTTTAAATGACAGCCTTAGCAGACTATCACTTTTCTGTGTAAGTGGATAACAGTTCTGATTACAGTCTCTTTTCTGGAACTTATTGATGAGGTAGGGAGGATTCTTTCCTGCAAGTGTGTGAAACTCCTTGGATCCTCTTTCCTATGTTTTCAAGGTCCAGTGTCATTTATTCATTTGCCTATATTCTTTTCTTTTCTTTTTTGGTGGTGGTACTGGGGGTTAAACACAGGACTTCTTATATGGTAGGCCAGTGTTCTACTACTGGGGTATTTCTTTACCCTTTAGTCTTCCTTTAATTTGTGATTTTTATTGATAATAGTTTGATAACTATATTATATATTTAACAGATATTTATTGAGTGCTTATTATATGCTAAGCACTATTCGAGGTATTAGGGATAGTAGTGAATGAAACAGATAAAATCCCCTTCCTCATAGAGCTTACCTTATAGAGAGGTTCTAACTTGGGAGTTGTCTCTGTAGAATTTTATTTTTTCCAGTTGGAATTCCTCTGATCAAATTGTCCATATTCCAATCACTTATTTTTCATTATTCCCAAATTTACCTTATTAATGTCAAACACATAGAATTAAAAACCAATTAGTGGCTCCATGTTGCTTTGTAGATAAAAACCTTATTTACCACTACGGCATTCAAGTTCTGATTTGGCTCTAAATTACTTGTTTGTGACCCACACCAAATTAGGGATTTGTACTCCTTCTGGGAAGCCTGTCCTTTGATTTATTTATTTTTTTATTGCACAAGTGATATTTCTGGACATTAAAAGACACATACTAAAGAATTCACCATATATTCATTTCCTATGAAATAAATACTCAAAAAAATTTAGTTATTACCCATGTTGCTTAGTCTTCTGCTAGAAGGTGTCCACGCCCATAATCCTGAGTTCTAACTGTTTGTCCAGGTTGGGGGCTGATACAGTGTGAATGTGGGGTTGGAGAAGGAAAGTCCAACTATATGGGGATTTCCAGATCTTCTCTTCTAGAAACTGGTTGGGGATTCTGGTTCCTTTTCATTACTTTTTCTGTTAAAGTCAGCTGATTTGCTAAACAATAGGCCTGAGTTTTATATGTTTTCATTTTTTTATCTAGGCCAGAAATGCGAGTATTTTTAAGGAAAGCAAAGCAGTGACCTTTTGGCATATCTTACCATTCAAAGTCTAAGCAGGAAATAAGTAATAATTGAAATAGTTTAACTGAAAGAATATAAGAAAGGACATTTACTGAGGTTGCCAAGGCTAAGGGAATCAGCAACAGTGGAAGCCACTATGACCAGGCCTAAAGAGGCCTGAAAGGAAATGTCATTATTAGAGAACCATAGAGACTGAAACCATGGAAGAGAGCCCTCTAGATGGGCATTGTGGTCATACAAGGATAGAGCCAAGGCAAATTTTGCTTTAGCATAGAGGAAGAAGAGTGCAGTACATAATCTGCTATTTCTACTTCCCTTCTTGTGATTTTTCTGCCAGTGATTATCATTGGTCAGACTCAACAGGAAGTCACACAGCAAGAGGATCCTGGTGATTTATCCATACAAGTCAGCTTCTCAGGACAGAGCTTGGTAGGGAAGTGGAAACAATAGATTTTGGGAGGAAAACAGAAAATACAGCTATTTTAAATATTATCTAAAATTACAGAAGGTTAAAATAGATGGCAGGACAATTTAAAAAATCCCCATAAACCTACCTTTCTAATATTATCTCCTTCTTGTTCTCATATTTAACTTACTGAGTATATTTATATTTAACTTGTTTAATATTTAACTTACTGAGTATCCTCTCTGTCTAGCACAGGAGGAGCAAATTTTTTTTTTTTTTTCTGTAAAGGGTCTGATAGACTTTGGGCTCAAGAGGCAAAATTAAAAAGACGTCATGTTTATATAATCATTTAAAATATAGTCATTTAACTCATGTAGTCATTCAAATTTGGCCTGTGGATCTTACTTTGCCACTTTTTGGCCTAGAAAGTCTTCTCCTAAATTTTTGCTAACCTAAGGTCTGTTTTTTAATGTTAAGTTAAAATAAAACCTCCTTCTCCTGGTCTCTCATACTGGGACCTGGACCTTAAGTTGTGAGTGACAGAACAGGCCTTTACTCACTTAAGAGTGAGGGGAAAGGGAAAAATAATACAAGGGGGACAAATGAATGTCAGTAGAGGGGGCAGAGAGAGAAGAGGGGAGGGGAGGGGAGGGGGGATAGTAGAGGATAGGAAAGGCAGCAGAACACAACAGACACTAGTATGGCAATATGTAAATCAATGGATGTGTAACTGATGTGATTCTGCAATCTGTATATGGGGTAAAAATGGGAGTTCATAACCCACTTGAATCAAAGTGTGAAATATGATATATCAAGAACTATGTAATGTTTTGAACAACCAACAATAAAAAATTAAAAAAAAAAAAAAAAAAGAAACGGAGGCTCAATGGAACCAATGTTGAGAGCAGATCCCAGAATCCAGGAGCAGCAGAAGCTACAGCAGCTCTTGGGGATATCCTGGTTTGCTTCTGTGTTACCATCAGGACATGTCCTCTTCATTTTCCTTTTTCTTATCTTTGCTTCTGTTTACCATTTGGCTTCATTGTCTATCTATAGTGAAGGCAGACCTCCCCCACAGAAAATACTCCCCTCTCTTTATATAAAAAACCCAAGGAAGTATTCTACAGAACCTGTCTTGGTTACACACACACACACACACACACCCTCTGATGAAAGTGGGTAAGATTGGAGGTGGTGTTCAGGTTTACCATTGCACAAATTTAATATAGGAGTGAACTCAAGGATGTGTTAGTGTGTGTGTGTGTGTGTGGTAGGGGGATGGCCGGGGCAGTTTTCCAAAAGGAAGGAGAACTCTTGTTACCAGGAGAAATAAGGTGATAGAAATGTTATAATTATAGTTCAATGTGTAGCATGCTACAACAGCGATAAATATGACATATGTCTTTACCACCCCCAGTCCCTACCAGCAAACTTGGTAGACTTCCATGCGTTTTTGATGAATGAATGACTCAGTTCCCCCAGCTGGTTGTGAACACTCTACTTTCTTCCTTACACTGGCCCAGAATTTTATCAGCTGCTCTTCATTCTGTTTGTTGTATTTGAGGTTTTTATGCCCACATATAAACTCCCTTTTAATCCCAGGTGCAAAAAAGTGCCTGAAACACAGCCAAGCACGCAGTAAACACCCTGTGGAAATCTTTATCTCTGAACCATAGCACAGAATGCTAACTACACAGCTGACAGGATTGATTACCGGATGACCCTTGTGGCCTTTTGGTTTAGGCCTTCAGAATATCAAGCCCCCACCTTAAAGACACGACCTTCCCGCAGGAGGCGGGGCAGGGCTCTGGGACCAGGACACAGCAGGGCCCCAGCCTCAGGCGCTTAGCTGAGCACAAAGGAGACAACTGGAGGCGGCGGCGGGAGCCGATCTTCTCTCGCCAGCTACTCGCTATTGCGGTTACAGACCTGCAGATCCCCTCCCCCTTCCCCACCCAGGCCCGCCCGTCCGCTCGCCCGCCTGCCCGCCTTTCTGTCTCCTCTCTCCCTCCGTACTGGACCTCCCGGGTCCATTTCCGGGCTCCTGGTATTTGGTATCGATCAGGGCCGCGGGGCGCGGAGCAGGTGGCTGCGGCGGGGCAGCTGGGCCGCCGTCGCAGTCTTTGTCGTCAACCCCTGTCTGCCGGCCGGCTCGGGCTCCCGGCCGGCGCACTGTGCCCGCCAGACTTTGCGCCGCGTTAGGCGCTGCTGGTGAGCTCCGGGCCAGCTCGGTGCCCGCGCGGCTGGGAAGTGGGCGGCCAGGGGCAGCCAGGACCCTGGCCCGACATGGCCGAGGTCAGCATTGACCAGTCCAAGCTGCCAGGAGTGAAGGAAGGTAGGGGCTGGGGCTGGGGCTGGAGGCGCGCGCGGGCCCCTCCCCTCTCGCGGCGGGTCCTCTCAGGCCGGGGGCATCGGCATTGCGGCCCCCGAGGTCCTCACAGGTCGTCCGCCTTGGCTGGCCTGGCCTGAACATGAAGGAACTTGGATTTAGGCTCTAAAGTGGGATCTTGGGCAAGTCACTCAAGATTCCAAGCCTAGTTTTTCCTTTAAAAGGGGATGGGGGAGGATAGCACCACCCTCAGCAAGTGGTTGTGCCAATGTTCTCAAGAATGGCAAAGCCTTAGCGAACCCCGAAAAGTTGGGTATATCTGATTACTTCTTAAAAATCAAAGACTTAAAAATCAAATCCTAGCTGACTTGTAGGCTGAGAATTGGGGAGGGGTTGACATTCAGTTCCCTTGTGGAGCCTTTGTTTTGAAACATGACTCTTTCCCTCCTTCTCTCCTACTTTTCCCAGCCCTAGGTACTGGCTGCCTGACTTTCCCACCTTCTTTAAGGTTTAAAAGTTTAGGCTGGGCTTTGCCATGAGTGGGCGGACCGGAAGCTATAAGCATTTTTTTTTTTCTTTTTACAAAAATCAGTGAGCTAGGGGAACCAGAGGCCTGGTGACCTTTTTGAATGTCTCCCTATGCTGATGTTCAGGAAAATAAGGATTGAGTAGTACTGACTTGGCTTTAGTTTCCCGCAGTTAGTCCTTCCACTTCTCTTCCCCTGCTGTACATCAGATACCGTAGGACCTAGCGTTTTTATTGCTATTTTGGATCTTGGATCATCCTAGCCTTCAGTTATCTTTGGCGATTCTTTGGTACTAAAGTTCCAGAGTGCTGTTGTGAGGTCAGAAATTCCAAGAGCTTGCAAAGACTGCCTTTGTTGTGAATGTTGAGTACTGTGGCCTGAAATGTTTTGAGAATGTGGAATTGAAAATAAGAATTTTGCTTTCTTGGAACTGCGTGTTTCGTTGCCAGCTTAGTTTGATTCACATGTTCTTGCTCAGATCAGTTCAGAAATCCCAAGAAAACTAGTGACTGCTTAGCTGCTTTCTTTCCCAGAGTTCCAAACACTAGGAGAGACTGGTGGTTACTTAGTAGTCACTGATTTTATGTATAATTTTTTAGTGGGGCTGGGTCTGTCCTATTGTTCTTGAAGGGTGTTCTAACATACCCAGATTTAGGGTCTTATCATTAGTGCCTTTTCACTTTTCTGTTCCTAGCCTGGTTTTGGTGAAGACACTCACATGTAGTTTTCACTTCCCTGTTAAGACTAAGGAGCTTGATTAATAGGAAAGGCAGATTAGTACTTTACTCTGAGAGTCCTAGTCTTAGAGATTATCTGGTTGCCCATTGCTATTGGATATGAGTTTGTGTGTGTGTGTGTCGGGGGGAGGTACTTTAAAGAAAAGTGACCCTGAGGTTGTGCTTCTTTAGGGGTGAGTGATGAGTAGATGAGAATTACAGTTCAAACAAAATATGATAGGTAGAAGGGCATGATTGTACACCCCTGTAATTGAGCTACTCAAGAGACTGAGGCAGAAGTATGGCAAGTTCAAGGCCAGTCTTGGCGATTTAGCAAGGCCCTGTCTCAAAGAAAAAGGGACTGGGGATATAGCTCTAAGGTAAAATGCCCCTGTCTTTAATACCTAGTACCCAAAACAAAACAAAACAATAAAATCACATACAGTCCAAAACAAAAAAACCACACACTCCAAAGCCTGACATTTAAAGTATTAAAATATAGTGCTGTGATTTTTACTCAGTCCATTATCTATGTCAGTGACCTGGAAAAAAATTTAAGACTCACTTTCTGTGTATGCATTTGTATTATGGTTATATCTTCTAATTTCTTACAAAGACATGAATGATTTATGCTGGTGTATTATTTTCCAAGGAGTTTCACAAACACTTTTCATCTAAAAATGCTGGATTTTTCTATTTCCAAACTCTTTTAAGACTTTAGAACATTTCTAACTGGATTTCATTTGGCATAATGTCGCATTTGGTAATTCAGATAAAGTGATAAGGAAACTGTGGCTCTTTTGTGTGTATTTGTTAAGTTAGGATTTAATGTTTATTAATTTTTTTGAAGATCAGAAATTGTTGAGAAGATCATTGTTTTTATAAGCATCTGATTTTACTGGTTTTAAGATCATCAAAAGAAATAATGTGTCATACTAGGAACATCTTAATGGTGGTAAAATTTTTGATCTGGGAAGTATTCAAGTCTAATAAATTGTATCTTTCTCTAATTTACCTTTTAATTATGGCTGTTACTCCCTCACAGTGTCTTTACCATAATTAGACTAGAGCTGTTGCTTATGATGGAGTAAAATATGCACAAACATTGAGACTGTTGTAATACCAAAACTCCAACCAAGTTTGAGGAAGTTTAGTAGTACTTAATATTTGGCTTATATGCTTATATGTTTAATATTCTGGCTCAGATTTTTGAACCCCATTTAAAAAAATCCATCTCCTTCACTTTTCTATTTTAATTTAAACTTTAAGTTGGTTGATAAACAATTAAATTTGGCATCATGGGGCAGATTCCAATAGAGATTTAGAATACTAATATAATGAATACATGACCTTTCCCACTGCCACTTTTTTAGTAGGGCTTGGGGCACCCTGAGACCTTTGTTGTGAACATCTCAGCAGAGGTCATGGGTAGCAGCCACAAGCATCAGGGTAATGGGATATTGAAGAATCTTCTTTCCCCGATTAAAATCCATTGTTTGCCCCCTTAGTTTTTAAAGAGGTCAAAGATATTCATCATTTGGTCAGAACTTTTTAACCCTTTCCCCAACAGTTTCTCACGAACAACTCTTGCAATATTTATACCGTGGCATATCTCTTTTAAACTATGACACAAAGAAGTGTTTGAGTTCTTACATAGTAAAAAGAATTAAGTCAACTAAATGTCAACATGTCTTTTTTTTTTTTTTTTTTCTGGCTAAAACATTTGGAACATCTGCATACTTTTTGTAGTGGAAAATACTGCTGCTGATGTTTAGGAATGATGTTGTCTTTCTTCTGAAACATTTCAGGTTCCGGACAAAAAGATTTGAAATAATTCCCAGCCACTTTTTAATAATTAGATCTACAACTAAAATGCAATATGCATTTTACAAATGTTAGGAAAACTTCTCAGTTTAGAGTTCAGAGCTAAAAGTATATTTTTCCAAATATAATCATTTTTAGTCAGTTGACAAACTTAGAATTTTTTTGGTATTTTTAACTCCTTTGCTGAATTTTCCTTCTGAAATAGAATCAAGATGTTCTGCTTTCCTTTTTATTCTTTCTAGAATCTCCTAACTTTACTTAATTTGAATTGCCCACTTACATTGTAATTTTGCCATTTCCTCTATCTATCCAAGATATTACATTATCTCAAAATTTTGGTGATAGCAATAGCTTGTCCATCAAAAGCTTTTCTAAATCCTTCCATGTTTTATCACCTTCTTTGAAATTTCTTGAGTGTTAGTTTTTTACTTTATTCACTTGGCAATTTCATTCCCAGTGTCAACCTTCTGTTTTCTTTCTCTTCAGCAGTTTCCCAAAGTCCTCCCCCCAGCCCTTGGTATTGTTCTACAAATGGAAAATTTCGCTGTTCCCAAAGTTGGTAAATTCTGTGTGTGTGAAAGATGTTTCATATCTAAAATCAGTGCACCTGGGAGTGAATTATTCCTTGATGTACAGGTAGCCAGCTTTTCTGCAAGCCAATTATTTTTATTTAGAGAAAGAAAATTGAATGTATTTTTAGAAATGTCTATAAAAGGAAACATACCCACAGTGCCCTCTTTCATTTTAAGTCAAGGACACACAGTGCCATAATGGGGTAAATTAAATTAATAACATAAATCTAGAATTTCAAGGGGAAAGATATGAAATTATGTCTGGTTCAATAAACTAACCCAATAGTTCTAGAGATTGAAAACATTACCAGCAATTTAGGCATCTAATGCATTGGGATTATTTGTGAGATGCCTGGTCTGGCTTGAGGGTAAATTTGCTTTCCTCTTTCTTTGAAATTCCATAGTACTTTTTGTTGTTTTTAGTGAAACCCTGGCTAGATCTCTTTGATCTGTGTCATACTTACCTTGCTTTACTCTCCTCATCTGGCTTCTTATCTTTCATGTAGCTGGCAAATATTCAGTAAATATTTGAATGCATGGATGAATGAATGAGTGAATAAATGAATATATTGTTAGATGTTCCTTGTTGGTTTAGAATTCCTATTTTTTTTAAAGAGAAAGAGAGAGAGAGGAGAGAGAGAGAGAGAATTTTTTAATATTTATTTTTTAGTTTTCGGCGGAAGCAACATCTTTGTATGTGGTGCTGAGGATCTAACCCGGGCCGCACGCATGCCAGGCGAGCGCGCTACCGCTTGAGCCACATCCCCAGCCCTAGAATTCCTATTCTTAATATATTGATTCCATACTCTTTCTTATAAGCTCTTAAGGAATAGAGAGAATGCCTTTTAATCATGCATATCACCTATAATTAATGCCAGCATAATTTTATTTTTTAATGAATATTTATTTTTAAAGATATGCATTGTAAATAGAATTAATCCAACACAGATATGTAAACATAGAAAAAATAAGTAATTCCCTGCTTTTCTGGCCTTGAAATTAATAATTATTATAATGGAATAGAATTTTGTTAAAAAACTTCTGTGTTTTTCTTAAATGCAAAGCAATTTCACATAATTTGGGAGACAGAGGAATCTTAGATACAGATTTTAAAAAATAATTATCCACTGGGTGGTACATACTATGTGAAAGTAGTGAGATTAATAATAATAATAATAATAATAATATACCCCATAGTATCATGCTGTGTTTTGGAATACATAGAGTTGTTTTTAGAAAAATTCTCTAAATTCGTATGTGTACCAAAAATGCCTTTTGTCTAAGTGAGGAAAAATCTTCCACTTTATTGCTATAGGTAGTCAGGCAGTGGTTTCTTAAATGAATAACTGCATTTTTTCAAATGGCTG